ACACGCACACACACACACACACACACACACACACACACGCACACACACACACACACACACATACACAGCTACATCAGTCAGCCACAGCTACACACAAGACAACCCAAAGACATCCCCAACAACAGCACTGCAATCACACAGTACAGTTTTACTGTGACATTCCCCTGCTCTGTTGATGGAGCTTTGAGGGGAGATGCAGTTTTCTTAGGCAGGACAACTCTGCAACTCTTACAATGGGTCGCTTTTGAGCACAATAGGGCTATCTCGAAAAATGTTATTTTGAGAAAATGGAAGGTAACGTTTTTGGATCTTTGTTCAGTCTCTTTAAAAGAACAGGAGAGTTTTCTCTATAACCAAACAAATATACACACAAATGAAACCAAACTTCTCCTATTGGTCAAGATTTCTGGAAACCCCGAAATCTGGGTTAACCTACTCGTCCTTCAAAGCCATCAATTGAGGATTTTGTAGCTTCTCAAGGTTTCCCTGACTCCACCAATCTGTCTTTTGCGTGGTCTACTGTAAAGTTACCTGGCGGTCTGATGAGTCGGGTCTGTCAGGGGGCCCCCGTCCAAGATAGTGTTGCCTCGTCGTGGTCTGAGTCCGACTGAATATCTCAGTGAGTCTCTCAGACGATCTCCGCATATTTCCCGCCGGACCCTGACGTCATCCAAGGGCGTGCCACTCCCTTAATTATCTTGTCCCCACAGTAAAGATAAGAGTCATGTCCCTTGACATTACAGTCTACCTCATCCTTTCTTGTATGAGTACTTGGTGCTATAGGCTCTCCTGGCTGGCTGGCTAGGTGACCTACGAAACAGGGGTGTCTGATTCATAGATTGAGACTATAATAGTCCCGGACGATGACGAAGTCGGAGACTTTATAAAAAAAAGTGAACAAAAGACCATATTTTTCTAAGGAAGCTAAAGTATTTTAAAGTTGATAAAACATTGATGTACATGTTCTACCATTCAACCATAGAAAGTATGATCAATATTAATTTGTATAACAGCATGGGCCGGGAACACAAGATAAGAAGATAAAGAAAAATTAAATCGACTAATACGGAAAGCATGTAAAATTTGAACATCTACATTCCCCTACTTGGATGAATTGTACATAACAGCTTGCACTAAAAAAAAATAATTCCATCTTTTTAGACAACAAATATCCCTTGTTCCCCCCAAAAAAAACATCAGTCAGAAGTAAAAGACCTAGGCTTATGATCTGCAACAAAGAAAGATACAGGTCATTTTTACCATCATCTATCAAAATGCTTCCATAAGTATACTTACGACCTTAGAGCATGCATCAAAATAACATTGAGTGTGTATCAAGCTTACGATTATTATTGTTTATATTGCTGCTCATTTATATTAAGCATGTGATAGTAAGCCTACGAGTGTGTGTGTGTGTGTGTGTGTGTGTGTGTGTGTGTGTGCGTGCGTGTGTGTGTGTGTGTGTGTGTGTGTGTGTGTGTGTGTGTGTGTGCGTGCGTGTGTGTGTGTGTGTGTACACGTGATGAAACACCAAACCAATGTGTCAGGATCTGAACAATAAAGTTGTATCTTATCTTATCTTATCTTATAGTCCAAGACCAAGGCAAGTCTGGGCCAACGAGAAGTCAGCTATTCATAAAGTCAGACTTCACCTCTTACAACGAAGTCGCGGA